AAAATCTCCCTTCTTCGCAAGCCTGTATGTGCCTCATTGCATGTAACATCAGTATTTCACAAATTAAAAAAAGAAAGTGATTCTGCCTTCTGAGATGCATGAATTGAAGCCAAATTTGCTCATCTGAATACTTGCCTTTTATGTACCTGTTTTGAAAGTCTGGCTTTTCCTCAACTATTTTTATCATAAAATGCTTCCTGTTACATAAAACCCCACCATTTTTTGTTTCTGCCTATAAGGCTGTTTCAAGACTAGGCAAAGGTGAATGGCTGCATCTGGGTGGTTTATAAAGTGGTGCCATTTAGAGGAGGAATAGGACAGGAAGATTTCTGGGCTTTCCCTGATTGATAGGCCTTATTTCTTCCATGGGAGGCAATGGGGATTTAGTGGACAGTTGGCTAAGCAGAGTCCTTCTTTTTCAATGTTTTTACACTTTTGTCATAGCTTCTACATGGTGTTAACTAGGAGTGACTGGCCTCTCTTCTCATGCAGTTATTTGGAACCTTCTGAAGTCTGCACGGGGCTGTGAACGCAACATGCAAAAAAGCCTGAGAAGTGTGGTGATGAAGGGATGGATATACAATGTCAGCAAAAGTGAATCACACTGGGGAAAAAACCCATCTTCTCTGACATAGGGACAGTGATCAATTTTGTGTTTAAGACCCCTGTAGTGTCTGTTTAGACTCTCAGATGCCCAGGCTTCAGTGTGGTCTGAACCAAATGCAGTATCAATGTCTGTTGATCCAGATACAAGTATAAAGAAACTGACAGCTACCCAAGCGTTCTTCCTTGCTTGTGAATAAATTGCCATAATAAAAAAGAGGTGGAAGTTGAAATAAATACAAATAACTGTTTTTTCCACTATTGGTATTTTTTTTTTTTTTTTAAATAAGTTGAAAGTGGATTAGAACTCTGTCTTTCCTGAATACTTGTAATTTCTTGGGCTTTCAGTTCTCAGTTTCCTGACTGGTGTTGCTGTGTTGGAATTTCATATAAATGTCTCATGGCAGAATCAGATCTTCAGAGCTCTTTGTGTTGGTCTGTGAACACCCTTAGGAGTGCTTTTAGTACAAAAGATACATCTAGATACTGAATATTATGGTCTGTACCAAACAGACCTTTATTCCATTGAAGTACTTCAATGCTAAAATATATTTTCTGAGAAATACCTCTAAGGTTATATGAATAGAGGATATATGAAATTGCCTTTTTTTTTTTCCTTTTGCATTTCATCTTTCACTTCATTAGAGCCCTGGTTTCAGAAATCCCTCTTCCCTGTGGGCAGCACAGTCCTGCCTGTGCTTTTTGTGTCTAATTAGTAACTTCTATTCAGGACCCTTTGTAAAATATTTCTGTATGTTTCTGTCAGCACACATAACCATGTACTATGTTGAAAAAGCCTCAAATAAATGTTTCTTTTTGTGTGAAGTGGCAAACATTATGGTAGAAAACAGCATGGTTTTTCTGTGGAACTTAGTATAATTTGGTTTGCCTGCTCTCTTCCACTTTAAGTTCAGACAAATACAGTTCCAATTAGATAAACTATACCTGCTTTTTTAGGTGGCATACTTTTTTTTTTTTTTTTTTTTTTTGCAAACTTGCTTTTAATTTCAATAAATGTTGTGTTAATGCCTCTTACAAAATTAAATTCCATGCAGAATGGACCAGAGGCCACTAAAGCTCTCATCTGTTCCATGAAAACACAGTGGGTTATCACAAGACTTGTGCCTTTTCAGCAGCCCTGACAATGCCAACACTATCGGTTTGTAGTAAACTACTGCTGTGCAACATTAGGGTGCTTTAGAAATGTCTTGGTAATCTACAGATGTTAATGTTGAAAACTGTTCTCAGGGTCCCAAACCCTAATGGGTTGTGATTTTGTCAGTCTGTTTCTGGGTGCTGGGTGCACTCTCCCCTCATTATGTACAATAACTTTTTCAAGAGAATGTTTTTAAGTTATGTTATCTTTTATTGAAGAGAAACCAGTTCTTGTACTGAAAGACAACATTTCCTGTGGGGGAGAATTTTTGGAGATTAGACCAAGTGAGAGAGGTCTAGCTCTGCTTGTGTCTCTAAGAGGACTGGGTACCCGACTGCTCTTTATGCCTTTAGTGATCTCCCTTGTGGTCTGCTGAAGTATAATATTTTTCTTTGAAAATGAAACACAATAACATAGTAGGTTTCCAAATATCCTGAGGATTGTACTTACTAATGAGAGACTGCAGACTGATGGTGCCTTTTTTTTATTGCCAACGAGGAGGGTTATCTTTTATAGAACTTCCTAGATTTTGCATGTATGCCCTTTTTTAATTTGGAGGTTTCTCTTACTAATTTGTACTTCTTCATATTCTTCAAACAACAGCCACAGCGATAAAAATCTTTGTTTTCATTGAGGAAAATTGCTTCTTTAGATGACTGCAATATAAAGTTTTGTAAATTTTTCTGAAAGTTTTCTGGGTAATATAATCAAATAACTTTTACAAAACACAAGTAGCATGCAACGAGCTCTTTTTAAAGATCCCCCCCCATATATTTCATTGCGAAATGAGTGCATGTAAATATGAACACACTTTCGATTTTAGTAGTCTCACAGTTTTATCCTGGTAGCTACTATGGTTAGCCTAATGGTTTAGTAATAAGCCCTTTATTTTCATTTTACAAGAGAAAATTGATGGATACTGAATCACTAGATGCCCCACTAAACTCACTGAGCAGTCTTTGAACTAGCCGGAGGGTTAGACTGTTGTCAGGAGGCCTATTCTGCTAAAGGCACCATTTGGCACACACGCGATGATGTGGTCCCATCTCAAGTGCAGGTAGATTTGACAAATGCTTAGTTTGTGGTTTCTAGAGCCTACAAGAAATGTAATGTAACTGCTGTGTTGTCATATTATTGAATATTAGATTATAATTATGTCAGGTCTGTTTAACATATGATATGTGTTAAGTGCGCTTTGCCACTTAATGAATTAATGAGTATTTAAAAAAAAGGGGAAGGGGACATGGGGATAAGATTCTTCTTTGGTCTCTCTGTTAGAATATTGCAAAGAATTTAATTTATTACTTAGTGTTGGTACTTTAACATTTCCTTCAAAACACATGGGCTAAGGGAAACTTAATTTCTTGAAATATGCTCTGCCATCTGTTTGCATGTAATTCATGGTAATGATAATTTAAACGCAAAAGGCTGATGCCACAAAATTCCCTCCAAATTTGAAGTAACCAATAAATCTTGTTGAAAAAATGCTGCCATCTTTACCTCTTATTGTAAAAGACCACTGTTAAGAATAATTGGAGAAATTTCACAGAATGGGAAGGGCATTTCACTTGTGCATAACTGCTGATACATTAAATGGTTCTTTTAGCTAAATGCCACTCACTAAAATGCTCTCTAGCAAATCTAGGCCAGATTTTAGGCCCATGACAGCTCCTGTCTCTCCTTTAACTTCCTGCTCTCTTTATAGATAAACAACCGTAAGCTTTCTTTGCACTGGCAGACTTCAGCACTAACTCATCTAAACTCAGAACTTGGGTTTTAAAAAGGCAGCTGAGTTTTCCAGTAAGGAAAAAAAATTGTCAGTGGTTGTGACAATTTCAGTGTAAGAAAGTAAATTGGTATTCAGGTTGAATCAATATTGTGCATCGGACAAACCTTGTCGTCCCTTTATGGCTTTTAAGAAAAATAATAAAAAACCTAGGGGAAAAAAAATATCCGAGAACAGTAATCACTTTGTATGTGCCATCCTGTTTTTAAAGCTGTGGACTCCCAAACCAGCTCATCTTCTGGTTCTGTCTGCCAGTGTCATGGTGGGAGCAGCACATATGTTTTACATCTCTCAGCCTTCTAACCTTGTAGTTTTGATTTGAAAATTACAAACATTGCAAAACCAGAGAAGCTTGTGATATTGACTGAGCAAGCTAGACTCACTAAGCATAAAACCAGCCCGGTGTAAATGCAGTGTTGTCCTTGAGCAGCCCAGTACTCAGTTTTAGTATTGAGTTGCTGTATCAGTACTTTTAAAATGCATATTCAAAGCACAGTCCTGGGTCATTTGAAATACTGTTGCTTATAAATATTGTATTTGCTTTTGAACTGTACTGCGCCGTGGATTGTAAAACTCTACAACAGCATCTTTATGGAACTAATGTCCTCATAAGGTACTAGAACCTTATGGTGCTAATTGTCATCAAGAACAGATACTGCACTTTTTAGCTATCCCTATCTAGCTACTGCAATGCTCTTGATAATTATTTTCTTTTGTACTGATAAGGTCTTTAAAAAAATAGCCTACAGGAAAATGCATTAAAAGCCTTATAAGGAGAGCATTGTGGCAGAAGCTTTACTCTTTTCCAGACTCAGATGATCATTGATGCATATGGATAACTTCAAGGGAACTAGCCTTTGATTGAGTACAGAATTCAAGGTGATTTGAGGATCTTAAGTCTCCACTAGATAAATTGTAAATGACTTCTCAATTGCAAATTTCATCTGCTCCTGTGTTCCAGATGGAGAATATGTATTCATAATGTCTTTAGTGTGTTAAAACAGTGCATGGGCATTCATTAAACATTCAAACTAGACTTTTATCTTAACAGCTGAAGACACTATGTATACATGAAGAATAACTTTCTCATATTAATATAATTTTATTAAGGTAACTTTATTTCTTTTGTTCTGTGCTGTCTGTAGAGAACTGAAAAGTAAGTCTGTATTTAGACTAATTTGTATCCAGTAGCATATTGTCATTTCTCTCTGTTTATGTAAGAAGAGAGAAAACAGCTTCTGTTCACAAAGCGCTTGCTCAGAATTTGGTTAACACTTTTGAGTCTGAAGGAAGCTTTTATGGCTGAATGAGAACCAGTGGAAGATCACAGCACAGTGGAAGTGCTGACTTACAAATAATTATATTGGTGAATTTTGTAATCTGTGACCAAAGTGAGAGCACAAGTTGCTAATTGACACATTTGATGCTTAGTGTTTTTTGTTTTCTTTCTCCTAGTTTCTTTGCTTGAAGAATATAAGGACTTTTCTTTCGGCATGTTGTGAAATATTTGGGATGAAGAAAAGTGAACTTTTTGAAGCATTCGATTTGTTTGATGTGAGAGATTTTGGAAAGGTAAGAATCCTTTTAATTATATCCTGAGTAACACCTGTGTTCTGCTGCTTGAGTATGGAAGACTTTCACCACACATTAGATGTGGTGTAGGAGTTGTGACTAATGGCTTAGCATTCATTAGTGGGGGAAAAAAAAAGTGGGGAAGAATTAAGAAAGCAGAAGAATTAGATTTACATTGGAGGGGCTAATAAAGGGCGGAGGAAAATCCCTGGTAGAAAAGTTCGGAAGGTGTGAAAAGCATAGATAAATTAAAAAATTGGATTGAAAGGTGCTGAGTTAAAGGCAAATGAAATGTGTGAAGATGATAAACTGTGGGTAAGTGCTGTCTAGTGAAATCATATTGACAGATAAAGTGTGGAATCAGAAACCCTGGGTGCTTGTACGTCATAAGATGACATGGCTCAGAGAATGTTTCTTTAGTCTCAGGTGTTTGAAATTCACCCACTGATCTGCCCTTGTAAATTTTATTTTTTTTTTTTTTTTTACACAATTGTAAAATCTTTTTTTTTAACCTGCTGTAAAGCTCAGACTGATCTATGGTGGGTTAATGTGATTATCCTAATTAATACAGCCTGGAGTATATTCTGTAAGCTAATGATTAGTTATTCTATATGTAAAAGCTTTTTCAAATCTATTGTTCAAAACCTCCTACATATCTGTTTGATCTGTCCTTACCAGCGTGTGTTCAGTTCAACGTCGGTTTCTGCTTTTGAGTCATAGGGTATCATTACCCTAATTTCACAGGAAAAGGTCTAAAAATTACTTGAAGTAGCACCAGAAATAGTTATTCATTCAAATTTAGTATATTTCAAACATTATTCCTTTTTTAAGAGATGGTAATTTTGCTAACTAATTTTTATGCACTGTTCTTTCTATAAGTAGACAGTTAGAGATGGTGTAGGAGTGCAAGTGTGAATCAGGGCTGCAGTATGACTGTTTGAAATGGTTCAGTGATTCCTGTTAACCAAAATATGTAATTATTTTTTGGAGTATTTTGTCTGATTTTAAATCCTTTCAACATAAAACTAAATAAACCTGTTAAGTCCACTTGTTCTTTAGTTATGCTGAACATCTTTTGTCCTCACAAATCATACTTAAGACAAAATAAACCTGTTAAGTCCACTTGTTCTTTAGTTATGCTGAACATCTTTTGTCCTCACAAATCATACTTAAGACAAAATAAACCTGTTAAGTCCACTTGTTCTTTAGTTATGCTGAACATCTTTTGTCCTCACAAATCATACTTAAGACAAAGCTTTTTTTAAAATGCAAACTTTTCTACAGATATAGTGTATTGCTTATTAAAAATGGGATTTGGCTTTGTTTTGATTGTGGAAACAGAGGAATAAAAATTGTTGGTATTGGTTTTTTTGTGTGCTAGCAATGCCTTATTTAAGGTATTTAATGTCACATCTCTTAATGCTTGCTTCAAATCTTTAGTACCTATGCCTAATGCACGGAATTTTTTTAATAATGCATGTTCTAATTAATTCCTGAGAGTTTCACATTTTGTCACATAAACATAACCAGCTTGTTTTTTAAAATACAGTCTAGTTTTGAAGAACTATTTTGCAGTGCAAATTATTATTGCTGCATCATTGAATACCCATTAAACAGGTTCTGAATTCAACCCAACAAATATGTTTCTGTCACTCTTAACAGAATTTATTTTAGAGTACACTTTTATGTAAGTAGAATAATTGGTTAAAAATATTGGTTCCTGTCTTTCATCCACAGTATTTATTTTTCTTTCCAAAGTAAAATTGCATGCAGAGACATAGACTTTTTTTTTTTTTACCATGTTTGTTGCCACAGTATAGTCCAAATAAACTAATTATCCCTGCTACTGGTATTTTGGTTTTAGTGATGGTGATAGTCCTTACAAGCAATGTTTTCTCTTTAGTGGCCTCTGTCACCTTTCTTGGAAAGCTACCAGGTAAAAATGCAGTGCCAAATTGGAAAGGCAGTGGTGTGCGGAGTTCTTTAAGGAGGCTGACTATGTGCGCGGTAACAGCTGCTTGCGCAGAGGTGGAGATGCTGAATTGAACAAGCCTGTGCAGTCTGTGTGAGAGCTGTTGGGCATGCTTTTAGGTGCATAATGGGTCTGCTGTTCAGCTGTTTCCGTTGCGTGCTCGTGTGGAAGCTCACCACACACAAGTGGAGGTTGCAGTATGCTGTATTTAGAGATGCTGATCTGTATATTTTACAGAAATAAAAAGAAAATTATTAAAGAAATTATTATTGAATTTGTCCTCTTATGATGGCATATTTTGCTTAATATGACAGATTTCAATGACTATTTAGACATGCTAGTGGAGGGAGCAGGAGAAATGTGTCAACTGTAAATGAACAATGTGCCTTCGAGGAAATAAGATTGAAGGGAAAAATCAGATGACAGACTGGTGATGGAAACTGGTGTTTTTTGGTTTTTTTTTTAATATTCTGATGTTTTTGAACTCTTTAAAGAAAACTCTTTGTACAAGTAGCAGCTGTACACTGCCTATATATATATTCATAAGACTTTTAACAGCCTTGTGAAATACTGGTTACAAAATGTTTGATGTAATGGTGAAACTTGCATTTAATAGCTAGAGGTAAATGAGCTGTTTTCAGATGCTTTGACATAATGTATGAAAATTTGACTTGAACTTCATGCTCCACTTTACAGAAACTCTTTGATCTCTCAGTGATTAGAGAAAGAAGAGTGTATGTGGTGTGGATGGGAATCAGAGGTGAAGCTGAAGTAGCAACATGTAAATAGTTAGACAATAGGTAAAGAAACAGGGAAGCAGGTAACCCCATGAGTATGTTTTAATGCATATAATCTGTATAATATTGAAATCAGCTGTTACAAGATGAGTTTTCTTCTGTTTCAAGTATAACAGCACAGATTTTCTTATTTTGAGTCTGTGCTTGAAAAAAAGAGGGTCTTCATTACACAGAAATAGGAAGGTTCTTAAATCATGCTTTCTAAAACTATGTAAAACTTGTTTTCCTTGAGTTCTACAGGATTCGCCCATTCCCACTCACTCACCTTTCTATCAGTAAATTTCATTGTTGCTGCCTTAAGTTCCTGACAGAGCATGAAATGCTCTCCCACGCACACGGGGTGCCAGACAGTGTTTTCATTATGAATTCCATGCTGGAGAGTCATTTTTCACTAGCACAGGGTTGTCAGGTTCTTCCTCTCTACCCGTGTGCCAGAATCAACAAGTGATGTTGATACTTGTTCTTTCAGCTCTGTGCGCCCTGCACGCTCCTGGAACAGCAGTCTGTGCTGTTTGGTACGCCGCAACGAATTGTTGCTATCCTTTGCCTACAAGAAAGCTGGGGAGGGACTTTTCATAAGGGCAACTAATGACAAGACAAGGGGAAATGGGTTTAAACTGAAAGAGGGAAGGTTTAGATTAGATATTAGGAAGAAGTTTTTCACTGTGAGGGTGGTCAGACACTGGCCCAGGTTGCCCAAGGAAGTTGTGGCTGCTCCTCCCTGGAAGTGTTTAAGGCCAGGCTGGATGAGGCTTTGAGCAACCTGATCTAGTGGAAGGTGTCCCTGCTGATGGCAGGGGGATTGGAACTAGATGATCTTTAAGGTCCCTTCCAATCTAAACCATTCTATGATTATTCTCTGAAGGAAGTTTGCAACTAGTGTGTTGCAGAAATGGGAATCTGAGGATTAGTTCCAGTGCTTGCTGATGTCAGGAGACCCTTCCTGGCATCAGAGAGCTGTATTTGAGGTCCTGTACAGGGAAAATGGTGTCCAGATATTGTCAGAAAAATAGGTTGATGTACTCTGCTTTTAAATATTCTAAGCAATGTATATCTGAGCATATAGTGGGTTTTTTGTGATACAACTGATGGAATATGAACATGGCCATAAACCCCCTTAGTAGGGATCCTGCAACAGATGTCTAGAAATAACGTATGTTATTTGATCATGATTTTAAAAAAACAAACAAGAGGATCAAATATCAACTGCTACCAATCAAACAAGTACCTAATTGTTTAAAAGCATATAACATCAAGTCCAGTGTAGCTAACTTTCCAGTGACACTTAAAAGGCTGGTTTATGTGAAAGCAAGCAACTGCTGTGAAAATACTGAGTGTGTATACTAAGGTCATGCAGTTTGTGATCATTTTAGTCACTCTCTTAGTGCAAAGGAAATCTGGGCTATGATGCAGTAGAAAGTCATGCTGAATCCGCGCTGTTAGTATTCAGGTTTAACAGATTCCAGGAAGATCTGGCAGATGTGCATGAAAGACACCAAAAAGAGCAACAGTTATTGTAGAAAATCATATAACTTTCCAGGAAGAGAGGAGGAAAAATGGTTAAGAGATCTTAAATAAAACTGCAGTATTTGAGATTAAAATACTCAGTTGTTTTACATTTTATTTGGTAAATTTAATGTGTGAGACCTAATAGAGTCATACTAAAACTGCTAAACATTGGGAAACATGCCAAGACATTATGGCATATTTTTTGTAAATATATCAAAATGGACAAAGTGAAATGAACTGGTAGAAACAAGTCATTAAAAAAAGAGCTCTGTGTCTTTATTCTCTGAGCTTTTTTAGTGGTAGAATTAAAAAAGAAAATCTTAGTAGTATGCTCAAGAAAAGCTGTACAGTTTTGTTTCAGGAGTAGCATTGTAACGTTTAAAGTGTTTCAGTGAGATGGAAGGGTCTGGGATGAATGACACTTGAACTCCTTCAATGTGTACTTGTGAATGTGGAAGAAAGAAGAAACAGAAGATACGGACAGGTTTCAGCTTTCTTCTCCATGGAAATGCTTTGGACAAAATGAGCAAGAAAACATTAGCCTGTTGCAAAACTGCTGAAATGGTTGGCATGTAGGGAAGACCTTATTTGTTAGATATCACTTCTGTTTGTATAGAGTTACATAAAGGTCAAGCACTTGGTAGCCTTCCTAAAAGCTGCCCTGAAATCATAACAAAAAGTGACTTCCAGCCCTAAAGAACATAAGTCATCATTTTGGGCAA